TGTGTGTATATATATATATATATATATATATATATATACATGTATGTATGTATGTATATATATATGTATGTGTATATATATGTATGTATATGTGTATATATTTTATATATATATATATGTATAGTAAATAACTCAAACGGTCACAGACAAAAGAAGAATTTCAACCATTTTATGAATTTGTTCAAAATCTAGCAGTCAGACTTTCTGCTATTTTAGCTGTTCCTGTATCAAAACGTTCGGCTCGTTCAGATGATCAGGAGGAGCTAGGACTTTAGCTTTTCCTCTCTTTGAGCGAAGCTGGTTGCCAAACTCCAGGAGCCACCTGGGCAAGTCTCCAGTCCATCCTCGGGCATCTTTAAAATGAATTTTACTTAATTTGTTAATATTTCCTTCCAGGAAAAGTACAATTCTTTTAGAAACACAGTTTTCTTTGAAATCTGCTTCAGGAAACTGGTTGTTTTAATCTTATTTGGCTACTTTCAGCTTCAACTCGGCTTATTTAACAATCAGTTTTCAGTAGTTCCACAGAAAATCATTAGAACACAAAGAAGCATTTCAAGTTTTTCTTTTCTTTTCCCCTTTGAAATAAAACAAGAATAAAAGCGATAAAGAGAGCTTTGAAATCTGAGATAAATATAATTTTAAAAAGTAATGAAGCTAGAACAGAACAAAGTTTGGTAACAAGCTTTGTCTTTTCAGTCTAATAAATAAATAAATGAATAGTTAAACAGAAATATTGACTCTGCAGTAAAATAAATCCTGAGGAGAAACTTCACCGAGCTGCAGACGCTTTAAAGAAAACGGCTGTTTGGGATTTAAAAAAATATATATACTACAAATATTTAACAGAATTTTTAAACTTATTTTTGTGACATCTTTAATCTCAATAATCTGATCTCATCAAATTAAAATTAAAGACAAAAAGGCTTGTTTGGTTCATGAATGGGTTTATTTTCTAGCAGCTTTGATACAAAACGTCTCTGACTCGATACGAACGGGTTAAACTCACAATAATACAAACATGAAGCTGACGTCATGTGACAACATGAATATAAACAATGAAGCTGCAGAACTGGACTCTATCGCCCCCTGCTGGTCAGAGGAGACACTGCAGCCCTGCTCTCAGAGTGTGTGTGTGCCTTTGCATTTGTTATAATGTAAGACCCAGTTTTCCAACACATACTATGATGTGAGGACCCACTTCTTCATATGGAACCCAAAGCCCCAATAAGAAAAAGTGATATTTCTGCGTTAGGGGTTAGGATCAGGCTGTAGACATAAACATAGAAAAGCATACGTGTGTGACATATCTATGCAATGGAGACCGCAAACACACTGACCACGCAGTACATGGTCCTGCTCTCCCACCTCACCGTGCAGCTTCCTGTAAAATAAATAATAATAATAAACATCTGTTAACACAGAGTGCTTTTTCACTGCCTGCAAGAAAAAAAAACAATGTGTAATAAAACTTTAGTTAACTACAGAAATGGCATTTCCTGTGAAAATGCAGTGTGAATGCTTATTGCTGAAAAACAGCTGAAAAAAGCCAAAACAGGCTGAAATGTAGCTGAAATAGAACAAGCCCAAGTCAGCAGAAGAAAGTAGAAAGAACACATATTTGCTGAATTAGGTTTAAATAAGCAGAAATTAGCACAAAATTTAGGAAATTAGCTTTAAAAAAAAGGCTGAAATTAGCAAACAACAACAAAAATGGCTGAAATGTAGCTGAAAAGGCAGAAAGAAGCTTAAACTACCAGAAGGAAGTGGACTGAGCTGAAATGAGATACAAAAAAATGTGGAATTAGCTGAAAAAGCTCAATTTAGTACAAAACAGCTAAAAAGTAGCTGAAATAACAGAAAAAGATGAAACTAGACAAAATAAGCCGAAAGCAGCAGACAGAAGTTAATTAGGTTGAAAGTAGCAGAAATTACCATGAAAAACTTTATTTTATCTGAAAACAGCTGAAATTAGCTTAAAAATAAAAAAGTAGCTGAAAATGTAGGACAAGCTGAAAAAAAGCATAAAGAACAAGTTTGTCCAATTAGGCTGAAAGAAGCAGAAGTGAGCACAAAAAAGCAGACATTACTACTAACAGCTGAAAAATTGCTTATAAAGCAGACAGAAGCTGAAATTATCAAGACAAAGTAGAGAGCACGGTTTTGCTGAATTAGGCTGAAAAAAGTTCAAATAAGTGCAAAAATGTAGAATTAGCTGAAATTGCTCAAATTAGCATTAAAACAGCTAAAGAGTTGCTGAAATTGAAGAAAAACTGAAACTTAAAAAAATGAGCTGAAAGGACCATAACAAGCTGAAATGAGCAGAAAGTAGTTCGAAGAAGCACAAAAATGTTTTAGTTAGCAGAAAGATCCTGAAAGGAGCACAAAACAGCTGAAATTAGCTGACAGTAGCTGAAATTATGTTTAAATTTGCACAAGGACGGTGAAAGAAGCTGAAGCAGAACAAAATGTGAAAGGAGCCGTAAAACACCAACAGTTCATGCTCAGTAATTCAGGTACAAATCCAACAGTGATCAATCAGGTCATCTGGACGTGTTTTTTTTTTTTTTTTTTTTGCCGAGACGTTTCGTCCTTCATCCGAAGGACTTCTTCAGTCCAAGAAGCCACAAACAAACTGGAGTCCCACAAATACAACATTTCCATAGTGGAAAAAAACAGTAAAGGCGCTGGGTCATTTTACTTTTTCCTCTAAACAGCTTAACTGTCTGTGAAAAATTAATAAAATATATATATTATAAAAGGTTGCTTTTTCCTAATGCAAGTAACAGTAATGTGACAGAATAAAAAAGTGAAGACCAGCAAAAGATGAGCTAAAAGCAAAAACGTATCCTAAGCAAACAGAGGCAGCAGCTGACGCAGAGTTATAAGAAAATGTTAAAATATGACGACAGCATTAGTAAATTAGTCTTTATTCTTCACTTGACCAACCAGAAGGTGGACATCTTCAGACACGTGTGTTGGGGGGGGACTTACCGTCCAAGGCGGTGTCCCAGTAGCAGGAGTTAGCTGTGTGGAGACCAGCTCCTGTCTTCTGCATCACGGCGCACGTCACTGCAGACAGGAGCTCTCAGTTAGAACTTCCTTCCTTCAGCCTACAATTCTTTATGTAAAGTTTGAAAATATGAACGTTTTTCTTTAAACCAGGGCTTCCGAACCATCATCCTTGAGGAACACCATCCTGCATGTTTTAGTTGTTTCTCTGCTCCGACACACCTGATTTTAAATAATGTGTCATTAACAGGCTTCTGCAGAACACAAGTCATTAAATCACTGAATCAGGTGTGTTGGAGCAGGGAAACAACTAAAACATGCAGGATGGTGTTCCTCAAGGACCAGTGTTGGGAACCACTTCGAAACGACCATAACTAGAAGAAAGTTGTGTCAAATGTAAATAAAAACAGAAAGCAACTATTTGAAATCCTCATAATCCCATATTTTATTAATGAAACATAATACAACTTAAAAAACTTTTTACTAGGACTGGGCTTAAAGACATTTTAGAGGCCGAGTCTTCTGGAAGTAAAGATGGGCAGAGGTTCCTCAGGCTGTGAAAAACTGTCTAAAATAGTGGAACAGTTTCAGAATAATGTTTCTCAACGGAAAAACTAGGAAGGACTTTGAATATCTTATCATCTACAGGTGGTAATATCGTCAACGATAGGGCATCCACAAATGCTGGTTAAAGCTCTAGCAGGCAAAAAAAGAAGCTAATATGAGAACACAGTCCAGAAACACTGCCGTCTTCTCTGGACCAAATATATCATTTAAAAAGGACTGAGGCAACTGTTCTGTGGTCAGAGAGGTCCCAATCTGACACTTTATGGAAACAAGGATGCTACGACCTCTATACTAAAGAGGAGAGGGACCATCCAATCTGTTTAACAGCCCACAGTTCAAAATCCTGCCTCTCTGATGGTATGGGGGTGCATTAGTGCCACTGGCATGGGCAGCTTACACATCTGGAAAGGCACTACTTATGCAGAAAAGTATAAACAGGTTTTTAAAACCATCTGCTCACAAAGAAAACCCAGGGCCAGTAAACAGCTAGAACCTTGCTGAGGTAAACCCCTGCCCATCTTTACTTTTGAAGATGCTCTTTTTATACCCAGTACAGTAGTCCCTCGTTACTTCGCGGTTCGACCTTCGCCGACTCGCGCTTTCGCGGTTTTTCAAAGTAAGATTGTACATGAAAAAAAATTTGTACATAACACACTCGACTGTCAACTTTAATATTACTCAGGTGGTTCTGACAGTACGGGACACTGTACAGTAAAAA